GTCCGTTATATTGAGACCTATTTGTGGCATATAAAGTGGTCGAATTGGAGAATGATATCTGAACCAAAGTTGTAACCAAATGAGTTAGATTTTCAACGCATTTTGAATTGCCTCAATCGGATATCGGAATACAAAATTATGATAAAAACACTGAAGAAGGTGCAACTGCCTGTTTAAACAAGAAATTCCGTTACATAGTCCGTTAAAACAACAAATTCCGTTAGTTTTTCCGTAAAAAATAAGAAATTCCGTTACATAGCTACTTTTAATATATATATATATATATATATATACTCATATCATAATTCCAAAATTACAGGTTTCATACCATGATTAATATAGGTAAACAAAGTTAACACAATGACAAAAATGGCTTGATGTAAAATATATTGTTAAAGAATTAGATCAAAATGGGGGAAAAAGTAATATTACAGAGAGAACATTCGAATTTCGGTTTAGGCGCATAATAACATTCTAGAAAGATGACGACGGTATGAGTAATTTCGGCCATCCGAGTTCGTTTAGGACTCGAAAACTAATTTTTAAAGTTTTAGTGCTATTTTTGTCATTTAGCTTATTTTGATTTTTTTTTTTTTTAGTTTGTTTGAGTTATGTTTTCATTAATTTTAATCTTATTAGATTAGGTTTTCAAGTAAACCCTTATAAATAAAATGTTATTTCATTATTTTTTATTATTACCTTTCACTAATAAAATTCGCGTGTTTAATTTTTTATAATTTAGTGGATTCCAAAATTCGCGTTTTTAAGGATTTCGCTTCAATTCCTTATTTCACACTACGTCATGACCCTACGTACAATTTTTTTTTAAAAATACTTGTGAAGAGACTGTGAAGAAACCCGACCATTTTTCATTATAACACATATGTGCACCATGAATCTTGATGACTAATAAATCATCCATTCATGAAAACTAAAATCCAATATTCCTCAAAATTAATGCAAAATGTCTTATATATAATTAGAGTTTGAATTCATGGCATGTTTGAAGTAAATTTTTTTATCAGGAGCATTGCTTGGTGTACAGGGAACAGTGCCAGGGAAATACAAGAGGGGTGTGGCATTCTATCATTGGGAATTTGGCAAAAAAAAAAAGGCAACAATACAGGTGCTATCAGCACATCACTTTGATGGATTATGACAGTTATTCTCGTGCCTAAAAATGATAATACAGCTCATGGTGTAGATTAATTCGGGTCTCCATCCCAGCATCCGACAAATCATCCAAGATCATCTTAGTTAAAAATCTTAGAAACATTACGTTCAAGTCCATGGAATATAAGAATCCTAGTTTTAATCAAAAGTCTTCAATCGCACTTTTCTTCCTTTAGTTAAAGAACTTAACTGGAAAAAAAAAATCATATTATACCCATTAAATATAGAACATTTCATATTTTACTAAGAACGATTTTATATACTGAATATACTATATAACCTCGTTAAAAAGGCCAAAAATGCTGATTCTGAAACTTTCTCCCTTTTCGAGTTGTAACAAAAATTTGAAATAGCTGATATTATGGTATACATTAATTACCTGCTTTAAAAATGCAAATTCAAGATCAAATGGGTTGGATTGCTATGATACTGTAGGGAAGGGATTTCTCTGCAATGTTCATTTGTGTCTGGAAAAATATCAATTTGACATCCTCGATTGCGTGAATCTTCATATTTCTTTTAAGCATCTAATTTGTGTTATCTCAGCAGAAGGCGTTTATGTAGATCCTCAGAAAATTGAGGCAGTGATGAAATGGGAACGCCTTACTAATATGAGAGAAGTAAAGAGTTTCCTAGGATTAGCAGGTTATTATAGTCGATTTGTAGAGGATTTCTCCAAAATTACTCTTCCTCTTACTAGTTTGGCTCGAAAGAACTCTAAATTTGTGGGAACTGGGGAATGTGAAAAGAGTTTTCAAGCGTTGAAGAAAAATTAGCTTCTGCTCATGCCTCCAAATCTTTAGTGTCAACACCCCTGCAACTAACTCCAAATCATGTGACGAGTAGTTTAACTCATGCTTCTTCATTTGTCTTGAAGCATAAGCTATAATCTTTTCATTCTTCATTAGAGCACAACCCAATCCTTGGCGTGAATCACTATAAATCACAAGCTCTTTATCTGGAGATGGAAGAGTAAGTGGTGAGAAATGTCAAATATTTACTAATCACAAAATTCTGTAGTATAAATTTGATCGGAAGGAGCTGAATTTGAGACAAAGAAGATGGTTGGAGTTGATAAAGGATTAAATCACAAAAGTTTGAAGTATATTTTTGATCAGAAGGAATTGAACTTGAGACAAAGAAGATGGTTGGAGTTGATAAAGGATTATGATTGCAAAATTGACTACCATCCAGGGAAAACTAATATAGTTGCAGATGCTTTCACTAGAAAGATTAGTTCTTTCTGTTCATTGAGTGCAACATGTGCTTATTTTATTTGTGAGTTCAAAAAGTTGCATGTTCAATTGTTAGCTACTACTTTTGGGGTGGTATTAGCTCATTTTTAGGTGACGCCTACTTTGATTGATAAGGTTAGAGAAGCTCAATTTCAAGACTTAACATTGAGAACATTAAAGCAGAAGTGGGTGTTAGGTTACGAGCAGACTATGTGATCAATGATGATGGTGCGTTGGCTATAGAGAATGGATTATGTGTTCCAGATATTCTAAAATTGAAGAAAGAGATTTTAGAAGATGTATACAATTCTGCTTATACTATACATCCAGATAGTATTAAATTGTATCACACATAGAGAGATCATTACTGGAGGCTGGATATGGATAGAGAGTGAGAGAGAGATTTTGTATCCAAATGTCTTATTTGTCAGCAGGTAAATCCAGTTCGTCACAAAATAACAAGACTTTTAAAAACATTGCCTATTCTAAAATGAAAATGGGAACACATTACTATGGACTTTTTTATTTGGTCTTCCTTGTACTCAGAGTGATCAGGATGGTGTTTGGGTTATTATTGATCAATTGATCAAGACTGTCAGATTTTTGCTGATCAAAGCCACTTATTCTTTAAATAAGTTGACAAAGTTATATGTAG